GCCCACCCCAGGGCAGTTCGGGCCACACTTCTATCCGAACTCAAGACTTCACCTCGCACACCACTTCGGCACTTCGTCTCCAGGCCGCCAAACTGAACAACCGTACCTGACACCAAAGGAGTCCGTATCCTGAGGCAGCGCACCTGACTGACTTAGAATCTGAGGCTTGACAGCCGCACTTCAACGGCCATCCGCCACCGCCACCTCCAGTTACAGAGACGGCTCCGACAAAGAGAGCAGTGGCAGTTGTCTGCCCTAGCAGAGGTGATGACACCCGAACTGGCAGAAAGTGCAGAGGTAATGATACCCGACCTGACAGGAGCTTGGGAGTGAGTGCGCGAAGTGGTTATAAAAGGTCCTCTTCCCCCCAAAAATGGATGTACGTGATAACTTTGCGTCATCTGGTTTTTTATCTTGCCTTTGAGAAAATACTAACTTGAGCTTCGAAGCACTCTCACCGGGTTCCTCCCTGGAGACTACTCGCTTTCTTCCCCGTTTTAGGCACCTTTTGCTCCAGTCAGAGGCAAGACCGTTGACAACTAGGACTGACCGGATTGCGCTCCATCAGGTACTATCGGTGACATACAAGGCATGCTCGCTGACTTGTCACATAGATCCGTTGTTAGACTGAATTCCCCAGAATATTAATGAGAACCGTTAGGCCGGCCTACCCACATCACGCGCATTAGAGTTAATCAGACAAATCTTATCCCTCTACGCAGATTACGTAACCGACATCATTACTGTCTTACAATTTAACGAAAATGGCTCTACGAGAGTCAGGGACCCGTTATAGGAGGTCTTAGACCACTCTCACCTATATAAAAGTCTCATTTCCACCTAAAGAGGTACACGAGATTAAGCTCTTGCACTCTCTAATCCCTTAAGAATATCTAAGAACTCTTCATTTACTTAAGCATTGGAGTGCCCACCCTAGGTAAAAGCAGCCCGGGCACTCTAACTCTCTCTCTCTCTCTCTCTCTCTTTCTCTCTCTTGCAAAATCGCATAGCCCAACTAGACTTAGCTCGACCAAACTTAGCTCAGCCACTGATAGAGGAAACTCCCGGTTTGGCATCCAAGTAACCCGCCACATGAGAGCCACCAGATCACACATCATCATTATTTAAGATATTTAGTTATTGAAATATTTAAATAATATTTCATTTTTAATGTTATATTTTTATTATTTGAATAACATTTAGATTGAGTAATCCAGAAAATCATAATTTATATTGTTTGTACATAATTTCGTGTTGAACTTTGTAAAAATATATAATTATTAATAATATGAATATTATTAAATCGATTATAATTATTTTTTGTCTTTTTAATGAATATTTTAAAGTTATTATATAATTTGTTAGAATATTTAAATAATTCTTAAATTTTTTAATTCAAACTTTTTTTAGATAGATGTAGATAAAAAGTGGGGGAGAAGATAAATAAGAATTAGAGATAATTTAGGAGGGAAACTCTCTACTAAATTAGAGAAAATTTACGAGAAAGTTGGGGATAGTGGGGAGGTTGTTTAGGAGAAATTTTAAGATATTGGATTATATAGGTTATTGGAACGAGAGAGAGAGAGAGAGAGAGAGAGAGAGAGAGGTTTTAGGAAGATTTTTTTGGCAAAAGTAGAGTTTCTAATTGGTAGTTTCAAAAATGACATGAATTAAAAAAATTAAAAAATTAAAAAAAGAAAAAATTTCTAGACTTGTTTTAATATATATAGATTATAGTTGTATACTTGTAACTTAGTAGTGGATGAATGGAGAATACATTCCATTAGATATCCCAAGAAAATAGAAAGTTTAGTTGGCTTAACACCTATAGCTTTTTGCTGATTTCACAAAGCCACCCTCCCAAATGGGCATTACAATTAGATGACCCAGTGGGGATACAACTGATTTATCCTTGATGCCCATTTACCGGTAGTTTCGAAATTGACATGGATTAAAAAATTCAAAAATTCAAAAAAGAGAAAATTTCTAGACTTCCTTGTTTTAATATATATAAATTATAGTTGTATACTTGTAATTTAGTAGTGGATGAATGGAGAATACATCCCATTAGATATCTCAAGAAAATAGAAAGTTTAGTTGGCTTAACACCTATAGCTTTTTGCTGATTTCACAAAGCCACCCTCCCAAATGGGCATTATAATTAGACAACCCAGTGGGGATAGAACTGATTTACCCTTGATGTCCATTTACTGGTAGTTTCTAAAATGATATGGATTAAAAAAATTAAAAAAAAAGAACAAATAGAAAACTTCTAGACTTCCTTGTTTAATATATATAGATTATAGCTGTATAACTGTAACTTAGCAGTGGATGAATGGAGAATACATTCCATTAGATATCCCAATAAAACAGAAAGTTTAGTTGGCTTAACACCTATAACTTTTTGCTGATTTTACAAAGCCAACCTCCCAAATAGGCATTACAATTAGATGACCCAGTGGGGATACAGCTGACTCATCCTTGATGTCCATTTACTGGATCAGGCTGCCTGTTGTAAAACCCAAGAGTGGTTAAGTGTTAGACAGTAAAAACTTATTTAGGGGTTTAATGGCTTAATCTAACAGCTTAAGCTTCTAGGATGAACGGTTCTTTGACCGCTCGCATATCAAGTTAAGAAACTGTTCAACCCAAAAGCTTGAACTATTAGGTGATGAGGTCTCTAAATAAATTTTTATTCTCTAACATTTATGATCATCATCATCATCCATGCCTTATCTCAACTATGGGATGAGTTACATGAATCATGTTTCGTCAATTCATTCTATTTAAAGTCATATTAAGGGTTTAGCAAAAGTTTTAGTATCAGCTGCCAATTTCATACAACCTTCCTCCTCTAACCGGCCTTTGGACCGCCGGCAATGCACGACAAGCCCACACAGGCAGAGTTAATCATTAAAGTGACATAAATAATTAGCTTGCCAGACAACCCTATTAATCTTCTGAGTATAGTTAGAAATGCAAACAGAGATATACGAATCAACTCAGTAAATCAATGGTTTTCCAAGTTAATCTCAACAATTAGCTAATTTCAAATCCCAGAACGTAAAAAAAAAAAGAAAAGTTTGTGCAAAGAAATGGTTTCTCACTTACACCAAGTTTATCCTAATTTTCTGTTTTCTCTACAAATGCTAGCCTGAGCAATTGGGCCAGGCTAGAGTGAAGCCCTAGACCGCCATAAGTTTTGATAGGATTCGGAGTTTGTAGCCAAACATAGACTCCAGGCTGAGATCAAACTTTCTCCAACTCTAAGCTGCCCCAATTAACCTGTCGCTCATGCGGCCCATCTACTCTTTCATGTAAAACAATTATCATAAATTCTCCAATCATATATTTGATTTGGTTGTTGGAGGATCAGAAATAAATATCTTAGAGGACGTCCTTTTTCTGGATTTTGAGAGGGTGAAAGTTTGTCAAAAGGATTTTGATTCCCATTGACCAAGAATTTCATGTTATTTTTTCAGATTTATGTAGGGACCAGGAAAAGTTTATTTTTCGGGGTATCACTTATCCCTATCTCCTAGGTGGGTAAATAACTTTCCCACATTGGGAGAAAGTTGCCACTACTTGAATGTGACAAAAATTCCTCTTTTAATATTGGATTTTTATGGCTAAAATGGTCATTGCGTTATTTACGTGAAAAATAAAAGAACATGGGTAAATGCACTTACCTAGATATAAGTCTTTCCTGAGAATACTTACTTGGGTATAACATTTGAATTAAAAATCTCATAAATAATAGGCATATCCGAATTTGATTTTTTAACATTCAAATTCGAATTGGATCATATCTATCAAATATCTAGCGGATTCAAATCGAATTTGGATTATAATCGGATATTAAATAGTATAAATAAATTAGACTAAAAATAACCAAAATATTATATATTATTAATAAGATGAGCTAAAAAAATGGCTTCAATAATATATTTTATGAACAAAAATGAATTGAAAATTATTTGTATAAAACTTGAACATATGACAACTTAGTGAAAATTCAACATTAAGACCAATTTCAATTATAGATATAATATATATTTTAAATATATATGAACATATATATTTAAATTGAATCAAATCGAATTTTATCAGATCGGATAGGGGTAGATCTATATTTGATCCAATTATAAATGGATCGAATTCGGATCATGCTTAATAGGATCGTATTCAAATTTGAAATCGAATAATTGGATACTGTTTGCAGCCCTACAATTTTACACAGCTTGGGCTTGGCCTGAGCCTAATATTTTGGGCTTTTATTTCTTAAATTGCCCAAGCCTAGCCCTTGGATAAGGCCCAACCTTATCCCAATCCTATGTATATATATATATATATTAATAATATATGTGATTTTTAATTAATTTATTAATAATACATGTGAATAATTTTTGTTTAATTTATTGATGTCATTTAATATCAGAATATTATATCTAAATCAATGAATAAGGTCCAATAATACTGACGAATCAAAATTTTGAATCAGGGCATATCTGATTCAATCTCAAGTTTCAGTCACCAATGTTTCCCTTCCCAAATGTCATGCAAATTATTCGGAGTTGAATCAGACATTCACCACATGGTGAACTGGCAAAACCTCATTTTGAAAATGACCGTAGGATTTGACCTTCAGTGCAATTTTGGCCCACTTCACTAGCATGATACAGCTAAGGAAAGTAGGAAACCTTGGGCTGTTGAGCCTGTTGTGATTAAATGCTTTGTTGAATTTTTGGCTCTATGCCTCATCCAAAACATAGTAGAGGCCTACCCACATTAATTACAAGGGACCCACTATAGCTTTTTCAAGCCCAAAACGTTATCTTTTAATGGTGGGCCATCTTCCATGGGCCCACTATATACAGTCCAGCATGAGTTGCTAATGACCTGTCCATCTGGGTCTAAGCAGTTCTGTTGAATGATGAGATATGGTTGATGACCCATATCTTTCTGAGAGTAGAGTACTTATTACAAGAGACCAAAAAAGCTTAGTGAAGCTCATACTATTAAAGAAATAATGCCACAACACAAGTATATCAACCCTTCACTCAAATTAATTATTCAATCTTTTTCAATAGAACAAAATCACAACTCTTGCAACATTGGCAAAACCAGACGACCACAATTGTCAATAGTATTAGTATAGAAGATTAATTATCATAAACTACTACTCCTTTGGAGCTAACTCTATAGCAATCATCTCCATCTTTAGAGCCGAGCCAGGCGTTCGATATCAACTGGGTAAGCATCAGAGGAAGACTGAGCTCTGTAAGACCTCTTACCGACAATCACATTTGCAGCTTCTGTTGGATGGAAGGCATCCCAGAACAGATACTGGTTCCTATTCTGGCATGGAGTTTGAAGAGGAAGACATGTAATTTGACCATTGTTCCGACCCACCCCACAGCATCCAGTATTTGTGACAGTAAACCCTGAAGAAATTGAAACACAGAAAACCATTATATCCACTGAATCACTGTCAAAATCCCATTCATGCTTCTTTGTGGATTTGTCTGTGATCAATAACTAGCATTTGTATCTAACTGGGGCCTTAACCAAACCATATATATGCATGAAACAAGAGAAAGATCAAGAGTTTGTGTATGAGATTCTGTACCATAGGCTGAAGGATTCTTCAACATGTCCTCAAAAATCCCATAGGCATTTATGTAGGTGAATTTCGCGCCATCTAGGTTGCTGTTGAAATTGTCGACGAGAGCCTTAAGCTTGTTGTTGAACATCTGGTTTGCGACGTTAATTCTATCGACACAAGCCACTCCATTTTGGCTGTTTTGAGCCAATTGATTTGGACTGCAACCAATCTGACCTACTCCAATCAAGGCTACCTTCCTTGCTCCATAGTTATACAAAGTCTGATCCAAAAAAGAAAAGAAAATGTGTTACTTCTGAGACAATTAGCCTCAATTTGAAGGACTACTAGTATATCAAATGAATAAGAGTTCATTGAGGCCAAAACACAAACACCCTACTCACCCTTAGTTGACCTGTGTACTCCTGAATAAGGGCATCTGCATACTGTTCTGGGGTGTATTCCTGGCTTGTTGTATAATACAAAGGCATGAAGTAGTTGTTCAGGTAGTCATTGCTACCCATTCCAACTGTAAAGATGCATTTGCTTAAATGGTCTGCTGCTGAAGCTTCATCCCCAAGTATTTGGACGATTTGAGAGGCCACAGATTGATAATTTCTTACTTGTCCATTCATGGTGATCCGATCACCCTATGACACAGAGAGAAAACTATTGCTTAATTACTGCTTAGTGGCCTAATTTTGAAATTAACAGATTAAAGAGAGAAAGGAAAAGAGAAAAGAACCATTACCAATTGCCTCCCGGTTTCATCTCTTATTCCGGCAGCGGCCGACGCAAAATTTACACCTTTGAGGAGATCCTGGCCTCTTGTAGTTGCATATGGTGGAATATAATCATCAAAACCCAGGAGTTGAGCTGCAGTCCATGATTACGATTTATAAGCAAACTGTTTGATATTTCATTGTCCATGATAATAATAATTTAAAACTTTAAATTTGATATATAACTTTAATAAAAATATTAAACCAGTATTTAACCAAAATTATCTTAAATATAAGGGTAAAATACAAAAATCTCCCCTGAAGTTTTTGACAATCATAAAAACCTTCCTTATAGTTTTATTTTAACAAATACCTCCCTTGAACTTTTCAGAAACTTGACAAAAGCCTCCTTTTCGCCATCGTCCCAGATGAAAAATATTAGACTGATGGACCAGTTATTTCCAAATATCCATTCTACCCTTTTATAAATTATTTTACATACAAAATTATTGAAATAATCTCATTTTAACTCAACAAAAATACATATTTCAGTAATTTGTATGTAAAATTATTAAGACGATCGTTAAAGGAGATTTTTATTGAGTTAAAAAGGGAAGAATGGGTATTTGGAAAAAAATGATACATCAATCTAACTTTTTCCGTCCGAGGTTTTTGTTGAGTTTCTCAAAAGTTCAAGAGAGGTATTTGTTAAAAATAAAACTATAGATGAGATTTTTATGCTTCTCACACCGAGTTCGGAAATATTCTTGATTTGGGACGGTCAGAACATATTGTGAGGTCGGTGTGAGGAAACTCTGGGGTTTAAGCAAATATCATTCTATCATTTAATTGTTTGTTGGGTCCTGTGATCAGTCTTTTACGGAGTTCGGAAATGAGAGCCAACCTTGGAGAATGAACATAAGAGCATTAAATGTAAATGGGGATAAGGCGGCCCTAAACGTGGCTCACAGGGTCTGCTCCGAATTCAATGCTTCACATTCTGCGACACTTAATTCAAAACCAAACGGCCCATCTATTATTTATCAGGGATGATCCAAGTAGGTGTGCATATTGGACCGGGTTAGCCCAAACCAGCCTCAACCAGGTTGGGTTGGACAAACACAGGATAAAAGTGTCAAAGGTTAATATGGCATACGTGTGGTGACCCTCAAAGTATCAAAACAGGGTAAAATCTATGATGCATTCACTCCAGTCTAACAGAAAAAACGTGCATAAACTAATGAAAAGTAAGTAAACTTTTAATGTGAAATCTAGATTTAATATCGCAAATCGCAATCAATATATTAGTGAATGCATAATAGTTAAACTCTAATTTATTTTAAATATAATAATTTAGAACATTTTTTCAGATAAAAGGAAATGAAGAAATCAGGCTAACCTTAGCCGACCAGCATGGCAGCATTATCCAAAACAAAAGCATAAAACCCGACGGCAACAGGTGTTTTCAACTGGCTGGTCTAACTGTCACCCAGATAGGATTCAGGTTTTGATTCTCTTAAAACATTGACCTTAGTAAAAAACCATTGACCTAGTAAAAAATTATTCAACCCGGAGAGTTGAACCTTTGACCCGATGACCAGAGGCAAAAACAGTTCGACCTCGAAATCGGTTTTTAAAACATTGATCCCAATCCTAACCTAGTCCAACTTCGAGAAATTGGAGAAATTTCTTTGGTCCAAGGTCCAAAGGGTTGATCTTTGTGAAATGGGCTTGTTGGGTCACTAGATGACTTAGGCCGACCGGGTGGTGTCACTTTTCTGAGTCTGGATCTACTACTCTCCTCACACCTACCTCACAGCATGTCCTGGCCACATATGGAGAACATCTCCCATATTTATATTTATTATTTATGAGGAATTGTCAAAAACTCACCATGAGTTTTCAGCATTTCTTTTAAACTCACCACATTTTTTCAAAGTGTCTAAAACTCACCATGTCACTAACTTGACGTTAAAGAGACTAACGGCTGTTAATATATTACCATTTTAACCTTCACAGAAAAATATAAAATATATACATATATTTTAACATTTAGATATGAAAAAAAGGAAAAAGTTCAAATAATGTTTTCAAATATAAAATACATAAAAACACAAAAATTGCAAATAAAATATAAAAAATTATAGAAATTTCACACAAAATAAAAAATTATTTTCAAATTATAGAAACTATAGAAATTGAAAAAAAAATTAGAAAAAAAATTGTAGAAAAAGCACAAAAAATTATAGAAAAACACAGAAATTGCAAATAAATAACAAAAATACAGGAAATTTTATAGGTTGTAGAAAATAGAAAAATGTAAAAAAACAGAAATTATAAAAAATATTAGAAATTATAACAAAACACTAAAATGTAAAAAAAAAAGAAAATTGAAAAATGAAAAAGACCCTTTTCCTCTAACTCGCCAAGGGTGATTTGGTCATAAAAATTGTTATTTATGCTGATGTGGACACCTCAGTTAAGAAACATTAACGGTGCACTAACAGAAGGTATAAAAACTTACTGACATGGTGAGTTTTAGACGTTTTAAAAATTTGTGATGAATTTAAGAGAAATACTAAAAACCCATGATGAGTTTTAGACTATTTCCCTTATTTATGGGAGATGTTCTCAATACACTGTGAGTTCGGTGTGAGAGCAAATCCCAATTCCCCTCTTCAAACCCCACAAATGACCACACGGTTCTATCAAACGCACCTAAACTTGCAACGCTAGAACCCTTGACGGTAGTATGAAGCAAGAAAAACTTGTGTATGCATTTAAGCTTATTTGATAAAACACGTCGGTGTTGGTGCACACAACTTAATTGCACTTACAGATGAAAGAGCTACACAGACATAGTAAAGTAGAGAAAGAGAAGAAGATAGAAGAGAGAAGAGATGAGATGTGGGGAGCTGACCGATAACATCAGTAGTAGTTTTGCCATTGCAAAACCTTCCAGTTGGTCCACCATCGAAGTCGATGCCGTAGGGCATGTAATCAGCTCTAGCCAACGACGAGAGCTGGTTGTTGTTTCCATTATCAACCAAGGAATCACCAAATATGAAGTAACATGGCACCTCTGCCTCTGCCTGCACCACCCTACCACCCCACAAGTTTACTCCACTTGCTGCCAACACCAACACCATCATACACACCTTCCACATTTTCTTCTTCACCACCTCACACCCCATGAAGGCAGTAAAGCTATGAGGAAGAAGGAATAATACAGAAAAGATGAAGAGTACAGAATGGAAGGGAAGAAAAGAGGAAAGAAAGGGTGATCAGTGAGGAAGAAATTATAAAGGGGTACTATGTCTGCGTGTGAGAAGACCAAAAGCCGAAGAGAGGAATATATAGGTAGCCTCATCAAGCTAAGAGAGAGGGAGTACTGAACAAGATGGACAGAGGCCACGGTTTCTTGCTTTTACAGTTGAGGGAGTTGGTCGCTGCATTAATTTCACGCGGACATGATCTGTGCAGAATGAATAATGGTGACTGCAGAGCAGGCTGTAATATATCTTTAATTTGAAGTCTTTTGAGTAAATCACAGTGGAATTTCACATTCCAGTAATTACCGAATTAGCTGTTTAAAGGGTTCATCCCTTTGTTAATTAAGAAAGTGTTAGATCGATCGAGCATTTACTTGCATATATAGAGGAACACCATGCATGAGATGAGACTGATGAGAGTTAAGAGAAACTAAGTCTGAAGTATTTAAATTAAAAGAAGACAGTAGCCCTATATAAAGTATTCTTTCTAAACCAAAAGCAACACAATCATGAGCTTAAAATCACTCAATAGGCACAATTTCTGTATTCAGCCATTGATGGGTCTCTTAGGTGGGACACATTAAATGTTGGGTCAAGCTCTTTATGGTGGTTTATATAAACCAGTCATGCCACAAACCCTAGATAATGCATGTAGGGCTCTTCTCCACGATCTCTGACTGTGGTGGGACCCAAGGACTCTATATATATATATATTTCATAGTAATTAAACAGTGATAGATAATAGTAAAAAGGTCTAATGTTGAGATGTGAAGCCATGTGGTAATGAGCAGGAGTTCTGGACCTAGCTAACACACACAATGTTGTATACATCTTGAAACTGCATTTAAGATCTAAATTATCTTTCAATTTCTCCACCACTACCACATTAATGGCATAGTAAGGATTAATTCGGGCTCCTCATTAAGTGGAGCTTCTCTGGCATTAGATATTCATTGAATTTTACTCGTCATTCTCTCTACAATTGAGAGCATCTATTGAATTAGAAACCTGATTCTCATTTGTTGAATGTGAACGAGAGACCCAGAGAGAAGCAAACTTAGCTGCAAATCTTCTTGGTGGGAAACAAATACTCTTGCCTAAGTACCCTAACAGGTTGTATGACAATGACCTGGACTTTTGGTTTGCTTCTGAGCTGTTCTTTCGCGGAAGAAAGCCATCCTTGTACTTTGGAGAAAAGGATAACATTGGGTTTGGGACTTGTTTAACATCTGGACTCCATCTTGGTTTAAATAGCTAACTTAGAAATATGAGGTAGATTTTTACTCCATGTCCAATTAAAAGGGTAACTGCTACACAATCTCCAAGATGATCCATCTCTTACAGAGTGGCAATTAAAGGGCAAAATTCACACTGAAATTAAAACAGCACTGAATGTGAGGGCTCACAGAGCTCTTTTTTTTTTTTATGGCCTAGCCTCTAGCTGATGATACTCTATATCATATCCTATTTTGAGACTAAACAAATATGTAGTTTTCAATTTTCTATACCATACTTCCAAAAATTTCTTTTAAACTGTGTAATTGGGATTACAATTCTCAATTATTGGGAAGTTGAATCACACCTTTTTGGTGTGAGAAAAGGTGGAAAGGAGAGAGAAGCTTGTTTGACATGGAAAAAAAAAGCTTCCTTACAATATTTTTAAGCTGGCCCAGAATGGAACCACTTTTCTGTCTAGGTTAAAATGCAAATAACTAAAACGAGAGAGAGATCATATTTGACCCTTAACCTATTAATTGGATCAAAAGATTTAGTGGTTCAATCAATAAGGTCATATGGATCAACCTGCAATGTCATCATAATTAAGTTCACATCTAGGATTCCAAGATACATTTGGGAAACAAAGTTTCGGTTGACAAGTACTCCTTATTAACTGTAATATTCAATTAGTTGAACAGTACTCCTTATCAACCTGCACCATCAAGTCATAATTTTCTTTCTTTATCATATTATCATTATGCTGCTGCTGGTTTAGACACTTTTTTTTTTTGTTTTTTTGATAGATGGTCGGTCTAGACACTTTGGTGTTCTGTAAACCTCCTTTTTCTTGAAAAAAATACTTGACATGATGTTTTGTGTTTAAATGAAACCTAAAAGGTCAAAATTGATTGTTGCTTTATAGGGTCAAGTGAGATTCAAAATTTTTCTTTTATTTAATCAGGCCTGGTTTAGAGGTGCAAGACTGGTACCTGATTTTAAGATTATACATCAGGTCTATCTTTTTAGGCTAAGCCCATTTAAATTTGGGCAAATTTCTTAAAGTACCCCTAAGGTTTAGGAAATTGACTAACTCTATCCTCGTTATTTATGTAATCTCTTAAAAGTACCTCAAGTACTTTAAGTACTAACAGACAAAACGAAATGCCAAATTTTTTCTCCACTATTCCTCAAATTTTGAAGAATTGTAATTTGCCCCTATTAAGTCCGCATGCCAATAAACTTCTTTGGCTTTGGCTCTATAGCTTGACTGATACATCTGTCATGATAGTAAAGAGCAAAGGCATTCTGGAGGGGAGGTATTGTGAGAGAAGAGAAAGAGATGAAGCCGGGCAGCCACAAAACGCTGCTACAAATCGATTCTGTAACACAAAGGCAACCCTACCAGTACCGGTGTGTCATTCTGTAAACAAACATTAGAGATAGATAGATAGATAGATAGATACATAGATAGAGAGAGAGAGAGGGTCATCAACCTTGAAAGGCAATGAAGTGGGAAGCTTTAATTTTGAGAGTGGAAGACTCCCAATTGTTTTCGGAGCTTTGAGACCACATAAGGGGCGCCATTCCCCTTCCATTTCCTCTCGAGAATATGTATGGCTTTTTCTCCAGTCCGTGAACCTTTTCTCTGCATTTACCCAATGCAATTATATTAATATATCATCACAATTTGATTCCTAAACACGGAGAAAGACAAACTGGTGCAACAGAATCAGAGGCTATTGGTTCATTAGTTTTGGGTGTGCCTCTCACCTGTACACTCCTGTACACTCCTTTCCATATATGGATGATGATCCACTGAGAGTTGCCTTCTGGAACAGAATCAATAGCGGCTTGATTCGATTTGAACTCACTATTACAATTAATATTATTGGAGATAACCATGTATCCAGTTCCAGATCTAGTTTGGATACCAGTTCCTTGGATAAGGATACTAAGAGATAGCTGTCTCTTGTAATCTCAGATTAACATGACCTCTTGGTTGTACTCTATCTAGGATTCTTACTAACTGATGTAACCATTTCTGGTCAGGTACCAATTTTTTTGTGATGTATCAATTTTTTTTTTGGCTAAGTACCTCGTCATTTGACCTGCTCCCTGGTGGCCTGTGACTCAGAGGATGATGGAGCTCCCTGGTGGCGAACTGCTTGGTGGTGAGCTACTTGGTGGTGAGCTCCCTGGTGGCGAGCTCCTTGGTGGTGAGCTACTTGGTGGCGAGCTCCCTGGTGGAGAGCTACTTGGTGGCGAGCTCCCTGGTGGAGAGCTACTTGGTAGCGAGCTCCCTGGTGGTGAGCTACCTTGATGAGCTGCTGGGTGCGCTGCCTTGGAGGTGAGCTCCCTGGTGGAGTGCAAATCGACTGCCCTCTGCATGAGATGATCTTCTCCTCTTTGTAGATGGCGGGAGCCGAGGAACCTGCGAGAACTGAATCAGAGGACCCGGGGGCATTTACCCAGCGAGGCCACTCCGATGCTTAAGTTAGCGCTCTGATAGTAGAGAACTTGAAGATGATATTAGAGGAAGGAGAGAGCTAGAGAGCAGGGTTACCTCCATTTTTCATCCTCCTCACCTCTAGGGGATCGGAGCTCTTATATAGTGGTGTTCTGACAGATCTGGCGTAACCGCCTCTGATTCTCTGTTGTAGCCGTTACTTGCCAGGGCTGAGCTGGTGGGCGCAGGTAACCGTTGCAGAGTACGGCCCTGCCAGACAAGGGACATCTCTCAGGGCTGGCAAGCACGATGCCGCCTGGCGAGAGACGTGGGCGCAGCAGGTCTCCAGATTTGGCTGGTATGGTTGTCAGGTAGGAAATCTTCCTGCGATACGCCGAGCTACTCTGCAATGAGCTACCTTGCACCTAGCTACTTTTTGCCAAGCTTCCGGTAATGTGCCGAGGTGCTTCTACCCAAGTTGTTCATAAGATGCCAGGCTGCCTGTGGCGAGCTGCCTGTAAGTGGCCAACTGCCTGTGACGAGCTTCCTGTAGTGAGCTGCCTATGTCGAGCTGCCTGTGGCGAGCTGCCTATGCCGAGCTGCCTATAGCTAGCTCGAGCTGTCTAGTTGTTAAGAGGCTACACTTAGTTGGCATGAGGTGCCAGGTGTCATAATTTCACTGGAGGGCCAAATCCATCCTCATCATTTGCCCCCTACTCCCAAGCTGAGAGTAACTTGGCGAAGGGAGTAGGTTTCTCCTTTTGGCCCGTAAGTCGATGAGCTAGTAAGTGTTGATCCAATTTCTTAGGCTCTGGGAGCTTCTTGTAAGGTGAGGAGGTTTCCACCAGTTCAGTATTGTAGCCCTTAGGCTTTGGGGGCAACTTATAGTCCACCTTTGCTGATTTTGCCCATGCTGAAGAAGCGACTGGGTTTTAAGCAGTAATGTGGCCCGTAGGCTTTGGGAGCGACTCGTAGTCCACTCTTCTTGACTTTGCCCATGCTGAAGAGGCGACTGGGTCTTAACCAGTTGTGTTGCCCATGCTGTAGAGGCGACTGGGTTTTTCAGCAGTAATGTGGCCTGTAGGCTTTGGGAGCGACTGGTAGTCCACTCTTCTCGACTTTGCCCATGCCGAAGAGGTGACTGGGACTTATGTTGTGCCGAGGTCTCTGCTTGTGAGGTGCCGAGCTGCCTATGAGGTGTCGAGCTGACCAGGTGCCGAGCTACCTGTGAGGTGTCGAGCTGACCGGGAGCAGAGCTACCTGTGAGGTGCCGGGCTGACTAGGTGCCGAGTTGCCTGTGAGGTGTCGAGCTGACCGGGTGCCGAGCTACCTGTGATGTGTCGAGTTGACTAGACGTCGAGCTACTTGTGAGGTGCCGAGCT